GAACCGTAGGAATTTCTTTACGAAAAACGTCTTCCCGCAGCCCGTTGGACTGCATACCATCGACGTCCATGTGTGCTTCCACCGCGTGTCCATTATGCCAATTGAGGCTATTTGGCGATGCTCTTTACGAATATACTATTAAAGAGTCTACCGGACTTTACATAGTCCCTCCGCCGTAGCCGGGGACGGGCCGCGGCGGGCGCGCGTCACGCGTGAGGCTCGTACGTCGCGCGCGTGTGGTAGCTCTTAGCGGTGACGTTGCTAGCCTCTCGTCCGGGTGAGCTCATCGTGCACCTGTGAGCTAACTGTCTGCCTGTATGAGCGTCAACCATATCGCTAGCCACCGTGCACTGCTAGCATCTCCGAAGTGTCCAGCTTTTAGCGGTGACATTGCTAGCCCCTCGTTCGGGTGAGTTCATCGTGCACCTGTGAGCTAACAGCCTGCCTGTATGTGCGTCTACCATATCGCTAGCCACCGTGTACTGCTAGCATGTCCGAAGCGCCGCTGAAAAAAAAAACATAACGTGGACGGGCTGGTAGAGTCTTCGGAGATAGATCGATAAAAGAGATTTTTTGTTTTTCAAATAAATACGTTTATTATCCGTATTATTATTGCTCAGGGTTGTATATACATTTGTACTGCATGCGCGTCGGTATCACGGGGTGATACAGATCTCGCGTTGGTAACACGACACACTTAATCAGCCCCTCTACGCTATCGATGTTATTGTGATCACCCGTTAGCTCGCGACAATCATCGCCCATGTACACTCTAGGGTGACCTACAGGGAATTTCCCCGATTTCGATATGAAGGGGTAGAGCGAACACACATCCACGTAGTGTATCCTCTCAGAACCCTCGACTTCGTAGTTTTTGGTAATATTAGTTACATAAAGCCGTACGGCAAGGATTCGAAACACGTTTTTGATTCGAGGCGTGTCACTACGTCGTGAAACGGAGTACGACGTATCGCGTCATACTGTAAAACGACCGCTTCGCTGGTCTCCCCCGTTACATAAGACCGTATTGAGTCATAATTAATGGCAAGACTCGTCGCGTGGTCGATCGTGATACCTTTGACTTTGCAGACCTCTGCGTGAGAACCGTCTGGCTTAGCCTATGCCGGATCGTTTATCCAGCTATCGAATTCACACTCCCAGATTTCTGTTCTGTCAATTCGTAACCGAGATACCGGATCTTATCACTCGTTGCCTGCGCTGTAAAACGACCGCTTCGCTGGTCTCCCCCGTTACATAAGACCGTATTGAGTCATAATTAATGGCAAGACTCGTCGCGTGGTCGATCGTGATACCTTTGACTTTGCAGACCTCTGCGTGAGAACCGTCTGGCGTACGTACCCGGTACGCGTAAAATTTCGGGCCTCCCGATACAAAAGACGTGATATAACTACCAACACCGTACGACTCCAGCTCATCCGTTAAATCGCCCAAAAGACTGCACCGTCGACGGGCGTACCCTCCGGTAGACGGTGATGCTCCAACGATGCTCCAGCGAAAGGAGACATAACAGGGCCTTACGTGATTGTTTCTGGCAGTAGCGGTATCCACCCGGTGGTAAAATGGCTATCTGCTCGTCCCGCAAAAAGTTTTTTCTAAAAACTGTTGAACACGCTGAGGCTATGGTGGTGCTCTCCAAGAAAGGACAAACGCTACCGTGCTGGAGAAACATTGCGCGGAAAGAAACGCATGCCTGTCTGAGGATGGCGACGTTGGATCTACAGTAATCAATAAACTCTGTTCGAAAGTTAAATACGTAGCCTGCAGACCGTTGTTCGTTATACCATACTAGGAATTGATCACGTTGAGCCGTCGGCATCGTATCAGGTGAATAAAACTCGAGTGGCGGTAGAGGACCGATATAGTGCTGATTCTCGGGAGTATTGAATAGATGCGGAAAGACACACCGAAGGCTTTTGGCAGACCACTCAGAGGCATGTGAAAATAATTAAGACTGTCTATGACTGTTACACGATCCGTCTTCATTATTATGATACTCGTGCCACTGAGTATCAGCGTCAGTGGTTTTAGAGTTTTCCGCTTACGCTTCACGATTTGCTTCAGTATAAACTGCGCGTCGAAACCCTTGGCGTTATGCGCCACACAGATCACTCTCTGAAACGATTTTCTTTTAGGATCGCACGCGTAATCTACAAATGCCTTACGGGATCCTCTTCAAAGACGTACTCGCGTACACTGCAAGACGGGCATACCCTCGCGAGATCTGTATCATGTATGCATGCTGTGCACATTTGCTGAACGACACACATCGCACGCGTAATCTACAAATGCCTTACGGGATCCTCTTCAAAGACGTACTCGCGTACACTGCAAGACGGGCATACCCTCGCGAGATCTGTATCATGTATGCATGCTGTGCACATTTGCTGAACGACACACAAGTTTGGTGTGTGGATGCGTACCGTGTCGTCACCGGGCAGCTTCTGTATATGCTGTGTTTCAAAATCGTAAAAAATGAATAGAATTGTACCATCACCACAGCGAGCGACCTAGGTAGACAGAGGTTATCGTTATTCACTATGGTCAGTATAGAGTGTTTTTTTATAAATTCGTGCGCTAATCGCACGCGTCCTGTACCCCGCGGTACTTCGACTATAGATGACTCGATGACAAAAGACCTATCTATTTGAAATGCCTGGGCGCTCTGTGCGACGGACGATATCACACCCCACACATCGTTTTCGAGAAGTTCTCGAGCCGGTCTGTACGACAGCCACGCTGCCCCGCACGCAAAACTGTCGGATTTGATCGTTAGACCTATATAGTCCCGCGCGCTACACGAGCTTGTGAGGTACGCGTGTATATCTCTGACTCCCGTGTAACCATGATACCGTATTTGTATCAGGGTTTTCGAGCGGCCTCCGAATAGCCATTGCTATTTCACGCCCGTCTAAACGAAACCTATTTATACGACGTGTCGTTTTGGATTGTATTGTAAATCTATATCCAGGCGATAGCACGCCGTTATTGATATTTCCGTCGGCGTCATCGTCGTCGTTCTGTGGTCGAAGAAGGGGGCCATCGCCGATCTGTCGACATACCCCGTCGTCCTCTGCATCTAACGTTTGGAAAAAAAAAGTTTTTATTTTTCACTTGTTAGACAAAAAAAAAAGTGTTAAGCGCATACTGACTTCTCATGCCTCGCGAGGATTAAACATTGACCCTATGTATGAGAATAGCGTGTCTAACTGGCTTTCATCACCCCCTACATTGTTTAAAGTTAGCAATTTCGACAAAAGAAAAGCGTTAACCGCTAAGGAACATAACTTTATACGCGACCTTCTTCGTAGGTATCCGGGTCGTTTGGATTTTCATCATCATCATCGAGCTCTGCTAATACTTTAGCAGCCTCGTCGGCATCCGCCTCTACGTACACACCGTTCCTAGGAACCCATAGTATCGGTTCTTCAGCATTGTCCTGATCCTGCGGTGGTAGCAGGTCACCCTGTACAATAGGCTCTCGACTATCGTTGGCTATATCCGCATCGAGCAAATTTACAATTTTTTACTTTTTTATTTTCACACAAATAAATTTTGAGCGGCTTCTGTACTTTATCATTATTACCTGGGTTGTGCTCGTTAGAATCGTTGGAAGCGGTGGAGCGATCGTCGACATCATCCTGGTCGTCGTCGTCGTCTTCGCTGGCGTCCGACGTTATAGCCATGAATGCATCTGCAAAAAATTTATGAACAGCACAACACATTTTTTTTTTCCGACGCTGTATGACACGTACCCCATGTGCCGTAATGCGTTTCTTCTTCTTCTTCTTCTTCTTCTTCTTCTTCTTCAGCCGTTCGTCTGTTCAGCGTTGTTGCTGGTCCTGGCACTTTTTTTTTAAATAAAAACGCATATTAGCCGTAAACTTTTTTGTTTAAAAGTACATGCTTTACCGTTAGCGTACTGCATCAGCATCGTTGTGCTGGTGCTTGGCTCCGGGTAAATCTCCTCCTCTACACGATTGAGGCACCTTTAAACCAACCGATCCTCCTCCTCGGGTGCGTCGTCGTTGTGAAATCGCGTCAATTCTTGTAAAATTTATTTAGTTTTAAAAAGCAGTTTATTTAAGCAATATTACCGATAAGTGGAAAATACATACCTTCGTGGAACGCATGATCAGCTATAATAGCCCTGGTGATACGGTTATCGCGCACTCCCCGTTTGTTAATACACGCTACGGCTAACGAGAGTATGTACGGATCGTTTTTAAAATACCCTCTCTCGTGACCCCTGGCTAGCACGCGTAGAGTGCAATGGGCAAATACAGTTTTTAATCTAAGAGTTAACGTGCGTAAACCAAAAAAACTTAATTCTCTGCACCACACCGGCGAGAATAATCTCGCGTTTATAGGTGTTATCAGACGTCGGTTCTTTACAAAATCGACAATACATTCGCGAATATGCGTTACAGATGACATTTTTTTAAACTGTTGATTGCTGTAGGTGATCAGTCTGTCTACCGGGACGTCGTGATACGAACTAAAGCAGGGTACATCTAGCCTATGCCCGTCTTACAGTCATTGCGATATTAATTTTAATGTCTTAAAAAGTGACCATGCAAAACAGCTGATTCAGCGGAAAAA